TTAGAGACTGAAGATGATATTGTTTTAGTTAGAGACTGAAGATGATATTGTTTTAGTTAGAGACTGAAGATGATATTGTTTTAGTTACTGACTGAAGATGATATTGTTTTAGTTACTGACTGAAGATGATATTGTTTTTGTTACAAACTGAAGATGATATTGTTTTAGTTAGAGACTGAAGATGATATTGTTTTAGTTAGAGACTGAAGATGATATTGTTTTAGTTACTAACTGAAGATGATATTGTTTTAGTTACAGACTGAAGATGATATTGTTTTAGTTAGAGACTGAAGATGATATTGTTTTAGTTACAGACTGAAGATGATATTGTTTTAGTTACTGACTGAAGATGATATTGTTTTAGTTACAGACTGAAGATGATATTGTTTTAGTTACAAACTGAAGATGATATTGTTTTAGTTACTGACTGAAGATGATATTGTTTTAGTTAGAGACTGAAGATGATATTGTTTTAGTTAGAGACTGAAGATGATATTGTTTTAGTTACAGACTGAAGATGATATTGTTTTAGTTAGAGACTGAAGATGATATTGTGTTAGTTACAGACTGAAGATGATATTGTTTTAGTTACTGACTGAAGATGATATTGTTTTAGTTACTGACTGAAGATGATATTGTTTTAGTTACTGACTGAAGATGATATTGTTTTAGTTACTGACTGAAGATGATATTGTTTTAGTTAGAGACTGAAGATGATATTGTTTTAGTTACAGACTGAAGATGATATTGTTTTAGTTACTGACTGAAGATGATATTGTTTTAGTTAGAGACTGAAGATGATATTGTTTTAGTTAGAGACTGAAGATGATATTGTTTTAGTTACTGACTGAAGATGATATTGTTTTAGTTACTGACTGAAGATGATATTGTTTTAGTTACTGACTGAAGATGATATTGTTTTTGTTACAAACTGAAGATGATATTGTTTTAGTTAGAGACTGAAGATGATATTGTTTTAGTTAGAGACTGAAGATGATATTGTTTTAGTTAGAGACTGAAGATGATATTGTTTTAGTTAGAGACTGAAGATGATATTGTTTTAGTTAGAGACTGAAGATGATATTGTTTTAGTTACAGACTGAAGATGATATTGTTTTAGTTACTGACTGAAGATGATATTGTTTTTGTTACAAACTGAAGATGATATTGTTTTAGTTAGAGACTGAAGATGATATTGTTTTAGTTAGAGACTGGAGATGATATTGTTTTAGTTAGAGACTGAAGATGATATTGTTTTAGTTAGAGACTGAAGATGATATTGTTTTAGTTAGAGACTGAAGATGATATTGTTTTAGTTAGAGACTGAAGATGATATTGTTTTAGTTACTGACTGAAGATGATATTGTTTTAGTTAGAGACTGAAGATGATATTGTTTTTGTTACAAACTGAAGATGATATTGTTTTAGTTAGAGACTGAAGATGATATTGTTTTAGTTAGAGACTGAAGATGATATTGTTTTAGTTAGAGACTGAAGATGATATTGTTTTAGTTAGAGACTGAAGATGATATTGTGTTAGTTACAGACTGAAGATGATATTGTTTTAGTTACAGACTGAAGATGATGTTGTTTTAGTTACAGACTGAAGATGATATTGTTTTAGTTACTGACTGAAGATGATATTGTTTTAGTTAGAGACTGAAGATGATATTGTTTTAGTTAGAGACTGAAGATGATATTGTGTTAGTTACAGACTGAAGATGATATTGTTTTAGTTACAGACTGAAGATGATGTTGTTTTAGTTACAGACTGAAGATGATATTGTTTTAGTTACAGACTGAAGATATTGTTTTAGTTACAGACTGAAGATGATATTGTTTTAGTTAGAGACTGAAGATGATATTGTTTTAGTTAGAGACTGAAGATGATATTGTTTTTGTTACTGACTGAAGATGATATTGTTTTAGTTAGAGACTGAAGATGATATTGTTTTAGTTAGAGACTGAAGATGATATTGTTTTAGTTACAGACTGAAGATGATATTGTTTTAGTTAGAGACTGAAGATGATATTGTTTTAGTTAGAGACTGAAGATGATGTTGTTTTAGTTACAGACTGAAGATGATATTGTTTTAGTTACAGACTGAAGATGATATTGTTTTAGTTACTGACTGAAGATGATATTGTTTTAGTTAGAGACTGAAGATGATATTGTTTTAGTTAGAGACTGAAGATGATATTGTGTTAGTTAGAGACTGAAGATGATATTGTTTTAGTTACAGACTGAAGATGATATTGTTTTAGTTACAGACTGAAGATGATATTGTTTTAGTTACTGACTGAAGATGATATTGTTTTAGTTACAGACTGAAGATGATATTGTTTTAGTTAGAGACTGAAGATGATATTGTTTTAGTTAGAGACTGAAGATGATATTGTTTTAGTTAGAGACTGAAGATGATATTGTTTTAGTTACAGACTGAAGATGATGTTGTTTTAGTTACAGACTGAAGATGATATTGTTTTAGTTACAGACTGAAGATATTGTTTTAGTTACAGACTGAAGATGATATTGTTTTAGTTAGAGACTGAAGATGATATTGTTTTAGTTACACACTGAAGATGATATTGTGTTAGTTACTGACTGAAGATGATATTGTTTTAGTTAGAGACTGAAGATGATATTGTTTTAGTTAGAGACTGAAGATATTGTTTTAGTTAGAGACTGAAGATGATATTGTTTTAGTTAGAGACTGAAGATGATATTGTTTTAGTTAGAGACTGAAGATGATATTGTTTTAGTTAGAGACTGAAGATGATATTGTTTTAGTTACAGACTGAAGATGATATTGTTTTAGTTAGAGACTGAAGATGATATTGTTTTAGTTAGAGACTGAAGATGATATTGTTTTAGTTAGAGACTGAAGATGATATTGTTTTAGTTAGAGACTGAAGATGATATTGTTTTAGTTAGAGACTGAAGATGATATTGTTTTAGTTACTGACTGAAGATGATATTGTTTTAGTTAGAGACTGAAGATGATATTGTGTTAGTTACTGACTGAAGATGATATTGTTTTAGTTAGAGACTGAAGATGATATTGTTTTAGTTAGAGACTGAAGATGATATTGTTTTAGTTAGAGACTGAAGATGATATTGTTTTAGTTACTGACTGAAGATGATATTGTTTTAGTTAGAGACTGAAGATGATATTGTTTTAGTTAGAGACTGAAGATGATATTGTGTTAGTTAGAGACTGAAGATGATATTGTTTTAGTTACTGACTGAAGATGATATTGTTTTAGTTAGAGACTGAAGATGATATTGTTTTAGTTAGAGACTGAAGATGATATTGTGTTAGTTACTGACTGAAGATGATATTGTTTTAGTTAGAGACTGAAGATGATATTGTTTTAGTTAGAGACTGAAGATGATATTGTTTTAGTTACTGACTGAAGATGATATTGTTTTAGTTAGAGACTGAAGATGATATTGTGTTAGTTACTGACTGAAGATGATATTGTTTTAGTTAGAGACTGAAGATGATATTGTTTTAGTTAGAGACTGAAGATGATATTGTGTTAGTTACTGACTGAAGATGATATTGTTTTAGTTAGAGACTGAAGATGATATTGTTTTAGTTAGAGACTGAAGATGATATTGTGTTAGTTACTGACTGAAGATGATATTGTTTTAGTTAGAGACTGAAGATGATATTGTTTTAGTTACTGACTGAAGATGATATTGTTTTAGTTAGAGACTGAAGATGATATTGTTTTAGTTAGAGACTGAAGATGATATTGTTTTAGTTAGAGACTGAAGATGATATTGTTTTAGTTAGAGACTGAAGATGATATTGTTTTAGTTACAGACTGAAGATGATATTGTTTTAGTTAGAGACTGAAGATGATATTGTTTTAGTTAGAGACTGAAGATGATATTGTTTTAGTTAGAGACTGAAGATGATGTTGTTTTAGTTACTGACTGAAGATGATATTGTTTTAGTTAGAGACTGAAGATGATATTGTTTTAGTTAGAGACTGAAGATGATATTGTTTTAGTTAGAGACTGAAGATGATATTGTTTTAGTTAGAGACTGAAGATGATATTGTTTTAGTTAGAGACTGAAGATGATATTGTTTTAGTTAGAGACTGAAGATGATATTGTTTTAGTTAGAGACTGAAGATGATATTGTTTTAGTTAGAGACTGAAGATGATATTGTGTTAGTTACTGACTGAAGATGATATTGTTTTAGTTAGAGACTGAAGATGATATTGTTTTAGTTACTGACTGAAGATGATATTGTGTTAGTTACACACTGAAGATGATATTGTTTTAGTTAGAGACTGAAGATGATATTGTTTTAGTTAGAGACTGAAGATGATATTGTTTTAGTTAGAGACTGAAGATGATATTGTTTTAGTTAGAGACTGAAGATGATATTGTTTTAGTTACTGACTGAAGATGATATTGTTTTAGTTACTGACTGAAGATGATATTGTTTTAGTTACAGACTGAAGATGATATTGTGTTAGTTACAGACTGAAGATGATATTGTTTTAGTTACTGACTGAAGATGATATTGTTTTAGTTAGAGACTGAAGATGATATTGTTTTAGTTACAGACTGAAGATGATATTGTTTTAGTTAGAGACTGAAGATGATATTGTTTTAGTTACTGACTGAAGATGATATTGTTTTAGTTACTGACTGAAGATGATATTGTTTTAGTTACTGACTGAAGATGATATTGTTTTAGTTAGAGACTGAAGATGATATTGTTTTAGTTACAGACTGAAGATGATATTGTTTTAGTTAGAGACTGAAGATGATATTGTTTTAGTTACAGACTGAAGATGATATTGTTTTAGTTAGAGACTGAAGATGATATTGTTTTAGTTACACACTGAAGATGATATTGTGTTAGTTACAGACTGAAGATGATATTGTTTTAGTTACAGACTGAAGATGATGTTGTTTTAGTTACAGACTGAAGATGATATTGTTTTAGTTACAGACTGAAGATATTGTTTTAGTTACAGACTGAATGATCCTCCAGAACTGATGACCTTCCTGGAAAAGGATTGGGACCCCGTGCTGGACTGGGCCAGAGAGAGGTACAAACACTATCACCTCCATCTTGCTGCATATGTTTGGCTCCGTTTCTTGGGACTTTTCAAATGCAAGGCAAACTCTACTCTAAAGCCTGAGTAAAAGTGTATTTTTTCTACTTCTAGAAAACAAGAGTTTATGCTTTTGAATTCATTGATCTCTTTGTATAGGCTGCATGATAATAAACAAAATTAATTTATTTCTCAACTGAAATCTGAAAGTTAATCTTGTTGAGCTTTCTGCAACATATTCTCAACATTATGATCATGACATGAATAGATGACATAACTGGGGCTGTATGATGTGGGAAGTGAAACCTAACTGTTTAGAAATAAATAAACATGCCTGATGCTGTTTCTGTATTTTCTTCATCCATCTTTACAACCTTATCATTGGTAGTTATTAGTGAGCCCAGGTTTGTTGATTATCTCCCTTTGACCACTTATCTGACAATGTGACTAATTGCTTCTGATCCCTGATGGTTTTTATATTTCCAGATATGGCATTACAATAGAACCTACATCCTCTATCATGCCGCCAGAAGTTCCAGCTGAGACCAAAGACATAATAAGGAGGCATTTAATGTCTTATAGCGACTGGGCTTTGTTTGGTAAGTAATGCGCCATTCCTTGTAGCTAGCAGGCTGGGGAGTCCTCATTGTATGTTATTTCTTCAAGAATTCCTCTTGACACTATCTGTAAGGGCTGTGTCGTTTTGATTTAGTAAACATAAAAAGTATTTTCTCCATATTTTTAACAAATAGTTAAGCAGACGTTCCTGTGAAGTTGTGTTTTTGGATGGTCCTGAGATTCTCTCCATCTTTGTTGTCTGCATGTTGGTAGTTGAGATTGGGTTGGATTATAATGGTAAAATCTGTATGTCTTCAATAGCCTTTTCTTGATCACTTTGACAAACAAATAAAAACCGAGAAAGGAGATTTTCCATGATCAAGAAATGAGAAACAAATGGTTTTTGTGTGTCCTAAGTAATACCATGTTGATAAACTTAGGGACACATGTAATAAGTATTTAATGAAATGTCCAAACCTTGTATAGAGCTTCAAAGCTATGCTATTGACATTCACCTGTGGCGATTCCAGGTTTGAAAGGTGTAAACCCGACTTGTCGGTCTGACTCGGTGACTTGGTTGACTCCATGTCATCGTGCCCTGGTTGCGTGGGACGTTTCTCATAATGTCGATCACTGGTTTGTCTTGGTTATTTACAGGCTGCTATGATGTAGCTGTGTGGTTTGAAACAAGAAAATAACAAATAAATCAATCAGTATTCCAGTTTTTGTGACCATGTAACACTGTGTCCAATTGGTGTTGCAGGGTACTACTATGCTGTGGACTCCATCAAGTCTCTGTTGATCACCATGGCGCTGGTGGACCGGTTCATCACTGTGGAGAGAGCTGTAGATCTGGCCCGACTGGAGCAACAGTATCAGGTTGTAGCAGACATCTTTACTATCTTAACCCAGAATCAGGGATGGGGTACCCTATTGGTAGGCCCAGTGTCTTCAGTTCAGTTCGATATCTTCCTTGTATTATGATAGGGGGCACGGGTAACCCTGTTGTCTAAGGCGCCGCAATAGTGTATTCATCTTTACTTTCATTCACAAGCAATGCTAAATGTCTGCCAACATCATGAATTAATAAACAAAAACTTTGAAACATACATATATTTCTGTTTCAGACCCAGCGCTGGGGCAATGTGGAATGGTACCATGACATGGACATTTTAGAAATGCGTACCCGAATGGCAGCAGCAACTCTATTTGTACACTGGTGTTGTGAGAATTCCACCATCAAACAGAAGGCGGCCATTGTCAGATAGTGCTTGTGGTGACACATAGATGTGTTTGTGATATCTCCATGTTCATGCGGACTCCCCTCAGTGCATCCGTTACAGTGAATACTTTGAAAAACGTATCAGACGGAAATGGATCCTTTATTATAATTATTGTTTGATTGTTGCTGAAGACGAGGAGTCACAGTTTCATGTGTGTACAGCATTTCAGCCTCTGACTTGAACAAAAACACATAAGTAACATGGTTCCAATGACCCAAGGATATTTGCACAATTTCTGTGCTCATCCTGACAATTTCTGGATATTCAAGATGAAATTATTACTTGTATTGTACCTGGATGTCCCCAAGAAAGTGTGGGTACAAAAAAATATTTGCTGATCCACCTTTACTGTAAAAGCCATAGTAATTGGAAACTATGTATTTTATATTAAGAAATGTTACCATGCAGGCTGCATGTGACTAGATCCTGAATAAATGCAGTAAACCCATTTATTTCATTGGTTTGTTTGTCTTGTATACTGCCACAGATCTTTGTGTTGAAGTTATAACTTTTGAACTCGTCACCTAGTTTCCATTGTTGATCATGACAACCTGTGAAGATCTGGGTTAGAATTGGTCTTAAGCATCCCATTCTTGTCGTAAGAGGTGACAAACGGGATCAAGTGGTCAGGCCGGCCCACTGACTTGGTTGATGCATGTCATCATATCCCAACTGTGTAGATCGATGCTCGTGATGTCAATCACTGAATGGTCTTGATTATTTGCATACTGCTGTCATATCACTGGAATATTGCTGAGTGTGGCATTATATAACAAACAAAATTATAAACAAGGCTTAGTATAAAAAACAATATGAGCATGATGAGAAGAAAAAGAATGAAAATAAATGAAATGAAAAGAATGAATGATTTATTTGACAGTTCAATATACAAATTGATTTTGATGGGACATATTTATAATATTAATCATATAATTACAATGAGTCAATGCTTGTAGATTTCTACATGTTTATTAAAGCAACAATAAAGCCTTTCTTTAATATGAACATATGTACATAGTATATATCTGTTCCGTCTGGATGAACTCAATAAAGCATGACTTGAAACAGAAAAATCTAACATAAATATGTTTAAAGAAAATTTCCAAATTTCAGAAATTAGTTAGTGGTATGCAACTTTTCACAGTTTGTACCTCAGCTATCTTAATCTTTGGTGAAGAAAATATAACTGCATGATTCTTAGTCTTATTATCCATCTAACTCCTTAATTCAATGTCCTTCAGAAACAAAATGGTTTTCTTATTATGATTTAGTACACAGTCAAACGGGTAACAGTTGAACCAAACCCGTAACAATGTCTGTAAGAACATGTCCTGTAGCGTGTTACAGATGTAAATGTCACGTAGGTATCACACCACTAATATACCAGCCCCTGTATATACCCCTGTCAGTATCACATCACTATCATGTCCATTCCTCTCAGTACTGGGGCTGAAGGAGATCCAGGTTGTCCACCTCCTCCCGCATGTTGTCAATCAGGTGGTTGATTTCAGCCACTCGCATACGATTACGCTTAATCTCCTCCTCTTCATGGATAGTTTCGATCATCGCCTTCAGCCATTGGTTGATTCTGGTTACCATGTCGTCCTCCTTGTTGTCGATCTTCAGCAGATGGACATCGTGTGATGAGGTGACAGCATTGTTGATGGTATCCTTGTCTACAAACAGCTGAAATTGAAAAAGGTTTGAAGTTATGTATGGTACCTTGAATTGTTTCAGTTGTGAAAATCTAAATAGTAAGTGGAATTCTGTGTGTGCATGCATGCTTTATTGCCACTTGCAGCACTTCAGCCATATGACGGCATGCTGGAAATAAACAAAATTCTTGACCAGACAATCCATGATTCATGTTATGACGGAGCTCCAGATAAGTTTTTGAGCAATTGAGTTTTTACTCTAGGGTTTCTATTCTATTTGGGTTATTTGATTTTTCATTGGGTAACAATAGTTTTTCACTCATCTATTAATCACTCTTATGCGTTTATCCCAAAATTAGTGAACATTTTAAGATTTAAAAAAATGAAATGATGTTTTTGATGTATATATCTGTTCTAAATATATAGGCTTGACTCGGAAAGTAAAATAGCTCGAAATTTTGTTTCGGAAATTAGCTCCTTTGTATGCATGCTGAAAAAGGCTCCATTGGGTATTTACGCAAGCTGTTTAAGACTTGATTTTTTCATTCAATGCATGTGTTTCTGTATGCAAGTTAATTATAATTTATTGGGTTTTGAATATGTTGTGGTTTTTTTTTTTTGGGGGGGGGGGCGGTATTTTACACAAATACACTGCTTAGCTGTAGTTCTGTTATGAGCAATGATCCATGCAGTTGGGGTACCATGACCCGCCATCAGCCAAGTCACTGAGCCTGACGGACCTTCATTAAATCACCTCTTGCAACTGGCAAGGGTTGCCCCACAGATTCCAGTTTAGTCACCCTTATATATCCTGCTGGGTACACATAATATATGAAACCTTACCAAGTGTTGATGCCAAATGTAGTCCCAGTTCATGTAGTTCATGAACATTGTTAGGAAACTAACTTGAATAATGTCAGGTCTTGCACAATGAATTCTTATTTATTCCTGACACTCTGACTGGAGTTACCATTTATTGTAAGACAACTAACAACCATCTTTCCCATGTCACTCCATTAGTTCATTGTCACCACTTTTATACTTATACAGACTAAGTGGTAGAAACGAACATCATTAGTCCACTAGTCCTTATAATAATAACAAATAGCAAAACCCCTAAAAAATGGCAAATTTCTACTAGTCCTCATGATACCTTAACTACTGGGCAGTTTGGCAAGGACTACGGGATTAGCACCAGTTTCTAACCCTGAATACATAGATGCGACATCAACTCTATCCTGTACAAGTACTGTGCAGAGTTGTGTCCCTTGGTCACACCAGAAACCAATGATCATGGGTTTAAATCCCAGTTCTCCCCGATTATGTTTCTAGGTTTGTCAGCACCATACCTGTGCTTGTGGGTTTAACCAAAATGGTAAATGTCTAAGACCTGCACCAATGTTCCTCCCACATTAAGCTGACACGCTGAGATGTAACTGCAATGCTGATCAAAGTGCTGTAAACCCAACTCACTCGATCACTGTCCAAGTACTGGGTTGATACTGATGATCGGGACATATCAATAAGTGTCTTGTCTGCTCACCATTCTAAGATCCTCTGAGATTTCTTCATCCAGCTCATTCTTGATGACCTTCTCCAAGGTCACTATGGCAATCTCCATCATCCTCTCGTGGTGTTGGTTTTCAAGGTCACGACACTGAGTCAGAAAACCTTGAACTTGCTCAGTGAAGTTAGACACCATATCCTGCATATTGCGTTCAAAGTCCTTGATGACATCCTGAAATGAAAAGATCATCGTTAATATTCTGAAATCAGCTAAAAAATTAGGCAAATAAATGTCTTTTTGTCATAAATGGAACAATACCAGTTAGGAAATGATGTAAGAACCAAGTTTAATGAACGTGAACTTCTTTATTGTGGATTGGGATGCACTTTTTGACGGACTTACATCGATTGAAAAACAATTGGCCAACAATCTGTTCTATTCAGTTCAGTTAATGATCGAAGTCTATATTGCACAGCGCACAGGTTACAAATCAGGTAAAGTTAAGCAACGTCAGCCGCAGAGAGTCCTTGGATGGGTGACCGCGTTTCCACAGTTTGACTCCTGAGAGTTTCTAGGGCTTCCGTCCTGCCTCACACTGGAGCACATGCTACACTTTGTTCGAAATGTGCCTCTGTTCACCCAGCAGTGAATGGGTACCTGGTAGGATGAGCTGGCAATGTGGTTGTTAATCTTCTAGCATCAAACAGTCAGCTTGGGTTGTATACTCCCCAGGGAGCTGAGAATGATTCTTGAGTGCACAATGATCCAGTGATCGGGGTAATAACAGTGTTCACCCAGCAGTGAATGGGTACCTGGTAGGATGAGCTGGCAATGTGGTTGTTAATCTACTAGCATCAAACAGTCAGCTTGGGTTGTATACTCCCCAGGGAGCTGAGAATGATTCGAGTGCACAATGATCCAGTGATCGCGGTAATAACAGTGCTTTGAGCATGCACCTAAGTGGTGTGGAAATATGTGCAATAAAATAGCCTATTAATATTATTAATCTAAGACTCATGGTTTTATAAGTGGTATAACAGTAAGTAATATTCTTTGAAAAAATAGTACAAGGACTTAAGAAAAGGGTTGGTCACAAGTTGGAGGATTTCAAACACTTTTCCACCCAAATGCATATATTTTCATACATATAAAAACCCTGTGCCAACCATTCAGCTCTGAGGGTATCTGATGACTGTCCATAAAAGGTAACTCACCTCGAGCTGATCCACGAGCTGCAGCTCCAGACCCATGAGCTGATCCCACAGGTCTGATGTCCGGGTCTGGTAGTCGGCCAGCTTGGTGTCCAGGATCTTGGGGTCAGTGATTTGCGCTACCTCCTGGAACAGCTGGAACATGGAAAGACAGGCAAATATAGGCCTTGTAAGCTGTACTACTAGGGCTACAGTATAGCCATTTCATGGAAGTTTGTGAATGTTTCTTTTTCAAATGGTCAATCTAGTCTAAGTTGGATAAACTGACTTGATGGCCAAGTTTCATTGGCTTGACCATCTTCATCATTCAACAAGGATGAGGAGATTTATAAACTTTCATCCAATGTAACTTCAGCCAAAATAATCCATCAGTGCCATCTGTAACACATTGATGAGTAACATCATGTACTATTATTAAGCTGGTTCAAAGTCTTGAGCAAGTACAGCATGGTATCACCTACCCTCTTCTTGTCGGCAATGAAGTCTTCAATGGTCCTCATTCCCATGGCTTTGTTCTCAGACTTTGCTTCCTCCACACACTCCCAGAACTGAGTCACTTCGTCCTGGCGTTTCGAGTGTTCTTGGAGACCATAGTCAAATATCTGGTGGCAGATCCTCACAAAGTTCTCTTTGAAAGTAACGTGTTAAGGAAAATATCTCCCTTGTGCATCACTGCCAGGACAATCTGCAGAGAGACTACTGGACACCAGTCTCTTCAGTAGAACATTTCAAAACTTGTGTTATCTTTATACAAGCAAAATAATCGGTACCAACAACAGAAGTATTTCCCAGACACCCCGCTAAATAGCATGAAATTCTACTGGCCATCAGGATACCTTTCTATCCCTCCACCAAGTGCAAATATTTCCGAATGGTTGCCAACGGTTTGTCAAAATAGATGTCCTCCACGTCATGTACATGTTTGATGGTTGATTGATCTGCGTGGTGGATATTTCATAATGCTGTGAATAGTAACTGGTACGACTTTAAATCTCTACTTTACTTTCCTCAAGATTCTGTCACAAATGATATGAATTAATGTAAAGCCTTATATTTTAGTTTCTCAAGAGGAGATAAATCGAGACAAAATCTACACCAAGAGTATCTTGTGACAGGGGATGTAGGATGTACCATTGCTACTGACCAGGCTATTCAGGTCAACAATGTCCATGTATACATCCCCTAGCATTAAAATTAACGTAATGTGAAACTGAAATTTTCACTGAAAACCATTCATAAGCCCCCCAAAAAAGCCCAAAAGGATATACAATGAGCAGTTCATCCACTCCTGGCATCTCGTTGAGTTTCTTGCCCTCTGCATCTTCATCATACATGCTGTCAAACAGACTGGGGCCATTCATCAGCTCCACGTAGCCACCCTGCAACAACAGTAACATGAGTACCACAGAAAACTAGGAAAGACATTCACCAATACAACAAACTTTGAGAATTCGGATCTCTGGGAAGAACACTTTATCATAAGACATGTAATAACAAATGGCCCCTTGTCTGCATAACTTTTCTTTGCTTGGGAACCAAATATTGGGGTCCCTTTGTGTTCATCATTGTCCAAAGGATCAAAGGGCATCTTGAGTGAGTGAGTTTGGGTTAACGCAGATTTGAACTGAATTCCAGTTATATCACAGCGTGTCAGCTTAATGTGGGAGGAACGTCTAGGATGTCTTGAACACAAACAGAAGTATTGTGTGCTGCCGGTGGCATCTAAGTCCTGTGTTATATGTTATCATGTCTACCTATGTTGTTTATTTCAAAAGATATTTCAGCCCATTTCTGGTGTCCCCTGCCTTGATATTGCTGAAATATTGCTAAAACCGGCATAAAACAATATTCACTCACTCACTCAAAAGAGTTTTTTATATTGACAGCCTTAATGACAATATTGTGAAAATAATCAATAAAGACGCGTTCAATTATTTGCAGCCCCAAGGACATATGTAATTGGGAAATTAATCATTTACAGTGTCAAACATACAGGTTTCTTGCATTGGGAAAACCATTGATCGACTGTGAAGTATTCTCTCATCCGCAGCTTGTGCTTGATTGTGACACAATTCACATGATCAGCATTGAGTGTCACACTGGTAGCTACACCACAACTGAGAGAGTGCATTTATGCTGCTTTTAGAAATATTCCAGAAATATCAACAATGTCACATACAGGGAATCATTCTTGATCTTTCTTTCTTCCTGACAAGGCCACTCATACAGACTCATCAGAGACGGTGTCTTCACTGGGCCCACTTGTACAAACTGATCTCAAGGCTACAACTATTGTAGGTCTCTTATTTACAACAGTCAATAACATTGCTTTGTGCAGGTTTGTTTAACAGCTCACTCAAGAATATTCCAGCTATATGACAGCGGTCTGTAAATAATCGAGTCTGTACCAGACAATCTAGTGATTTACATGATGTGCGTTGATCAAGGCAATTTGGATATGAAGACATGCATCAACCAAGTCAGCCAGTCTGACCACCCAATCCCGTTAGTCACCTCTTACGACAAGCATAGTCGCCTGTGTAGGTAAGCATGGGTTGCTAAAAACCTATTCTACCCTGGATCTTCACAGGTGCTTTGTGCAGGTGGGTCCCATTAGGCTTCCCATCAGAACAACCATATTCAGCCACCATTGTGGCCACCTAATCACCTGTCTTTTACACAGCAATGATATACCTTGAACATAATCACACATGAAAAGAATGGCTAGCGTACCTTGTGAAGTTCCAGCTCTTTGGATCTTCTCTCCTCTTCCTCCTGTTTGGCTTGAGCCTTCCTCTCATTGTCCAGACGTTCTTCAATACCCATTTGGAATCGCTCATACGCTGCATTCCGCTACAAATGACAGGCACAAAATTAGAGTTGCATCTCTTAGGGCTGGGATGGGTAACTTGGGTACTCAGGCCGGGTGGGTACTGAGTAGGATCTGGGTACCCACAGGACTACCCAGACCCGTGGTTAGTCATGATATATTGTTTAATGATGAAAAGTATCTGGAACACTACAAGTCGCTTACATTGGCATTTCTTTCTGACAATGCATGCATGGCTTCTGACTTTCAACTGTTTGAATAAAGATAACGCTTCAGTCAACTTCAATGTATACGTGACCAGATCGTTTTATAGTGCATCTGAAATACTTTTTGTCAGAGCTCCTTTCAAACATTTCTCAATTGGACATTTTGTTCGAGCTCTTGAGACCTACAGTGGGTACCCGGGTAGGGTCAGGTAATAGGGGGTTGGGTACTCTGGTAGTAAATGTGGACTCGTCCCAGCCCTAGTATCTCTGCTGCATTCTGCTACAAATGACACAGGCACAGACTTGTTACATTATGTGGCTATTAGACTGTTTTCCATTGTACAACAGTGTGAACCAGACATGCCAGGGTGTGACAGCATGAGCAATGGTCGACACTGTTGATGTACAATGGTAAACAACTAACAGCCACATTAAGTAACCAGCCAGTGCCCTCTTTCAGTCAGATCTTACAACAAGTAGAGGTACTAGATAGGGCTTGGATAAGTCCAAATTTACTACCCAGGTCCCCAACCCCCATTACCTGACCCTTACCAGCTGTAGGTCTCAAGATTTTGGGACAAAATGTCTGATGTCTGGAATTGTTTTGCTGGAGCCCTGGCATGTAGTTAGAAACATGTATTGATTTGATTTGGTCATGCATACACTGAAGTTGACTGAAGCTTTATCTTAATTCAAAGACATAGAAGATGGAAGGAATCTGTGCATAGTTAGAAAGGAATGGAAACATTAGTGACTTGTAGTGTAACCATGGAGTAACAGTGAATTTTTGTCATTAAAAAAATTATCACGTGACTAACCACGGGTCCGGGTAGTCTGGTGGGTACCCAGGTCCTACTGAGGACCCACCCGACTCAAGTACCCGTCCCAGCCCTAGTACTGGGCACCTATCCCACCCTGCAATGTCAACAAGCTTATAGACATGATCAAAATGATGGTGTAAGAGTTTGAAAGATACAGTTAAATGAAATGTGAAAATTAACCTAAAAACATAAAAGGTTGGTAAGTAGAGAAATATATTTGAGTTGACAACAACAAGTGCCTATGTCTCACCGACTGCTCATCGATGAGTCTGTAGTCCAGGAACTCGAGATGAGGGAGGAAGGCGATGACCTTCATCTTACACAGTTCTTCCTCACAGAAAGGATTTCCATTCAGATTTAGCGTCTTCAGTTTCTTGAACTTCCTTAGATATGTTAACTGGAAAAAGTTGTAAATCTATAATCAAACAGTTTAAATTTTCAACTTAAAAGAGAGATGGAAAAAAGAATTCTGGCCTAGAATAACAGGATTTCTGTTCTATCAACATATTAACAACAAAGAAGTAAGCTTCAAATACCAAAAATATCCTACACCATCCTTTTATAACTGTAGTTACACCGTATTAAGCCAAATGGCTGGTCTGCACAACATAACCATGTTGTGATTGGTCAAATTACCCAAACAAATGGCATATCATGTACACATGTAACTTAGTTCAAATATCGATCTGGAAGAAGTGTCTACAGATTTGTTCTTGACTTCCTAGGAACATGCTCACTCCCCGAAAGTCTATGTATGCTCCCCATTGTTGTATATATTTGTTACCTACTTAAAAATGTGATGTTCATGTAAATAAATATTAGCATTCTGTACTAGTCATCTCTTGTTCTACCTGATTAAGCTACCCAAGTCAGAATATGATAGTTATATCATGGTGAAGGACACCACAACAAAGTTTTACGACCAACAAAATGGCAGTAACCATTAGCATTAAGACACTCTAACATTCCCCGAACAGTAAACATGTCTGAAGTCAAGAGTTTCTCAACTCCCTGAGGAGTCTACTATTGAGCAGACTCTTGACGAACAGCTGCTCTTACATCTAGCTCCAGTTGATTGAGGTCGTTGTTGCCGACGCTGAGCACCTGTAAATTAACCAGCGTGTCCATGTTCTCCAGGCGAGATATTCTGTTGTTGTACAAAGTAATATCCTCCAGTTTAGTCAGCTGACCCAGGCCTTCTACAACTTCTATGTTGTTGAATGATAAATCTGAAAACATGGTTAGTGTACATGTTTTAGAGTCTTTGGATACAACCGCAAGAGAATTGTTTCATTTTTATTCCAGAAGTGAGGACAATTTTTTTCAAATTTGATATGAAAAGAAGAATATTTAAGAATGAAATGGTAATAATGTTTGTATTCAACCCGCAAACATATCATGTGTAAATGACGATAAATACCAATATGTGTGTTTGAGGAAATCTAAAACTACTTACCAAGCCAGACCAAATTGACGAGCATATCTAATCCTTCTATTTTTTCAATAATGTTATTGTCTAGTTGTAGTTTCACAAGGTTAGTGAACTCCCAAAGGTTGTCGATTTTCAAAATATCTGAAAAGGACATTTAAAAAAATCAGGCCTAGTAATTTAGCATATTAATTGAAAGTAAGCACAAAACAGAGCAGCATTATCTGTCGGCTTTGCCCACACATTTTCCTATCTGCATCAAACAAATGACAATCCGGCATCCAGACATATGGATTAAACATCACTTAAGTGATGTATGTATTCCATCACACTGTAATAATATCATTGGTAAATTCATGGTACATCATTTTAAATTCAAACTAACAATTTTTTAAATATGTTTACTTAATACATAATAAAACAAGGGCAAAAGTGAACATGGCTCACTAATACCCCCAACCCGCCTAGTGTATCAGTAGTTTCAAATTAAATAATGGATAGGGTTAGGGTTTGAAAAATTCATAAAAAAATGGAAAATTAATAAAAACAAATTTTTTCTTTTGACTGCACCCCTCCATATGACACAGATTATATGTACTAAGTTTGAGATGAATCCACTGAATAGTTTAAGAGAAATTGTGTGGACAAAGTTTTCAGATGGACGGACGGACGGAGCCTTGGTATAACTAAAAGGTCGGGGGTATAACAAAAACAAACATAAACCCCCTCTTTTGTGGGTCTGCCATAGAGCAGGAAGTATGACATATATCTGAGAATCTGCCATGACTCCTAACAAATCTGCAGTCTAATATATCTTAAGGACTTGGCTCCACGGTAGCTCTCTAATTTGTGATGGATTTTGGCAGTTATGGCAAATTTAGACATTCCATTATCAGTGTTAGCATTGGTCTCCACAATAAGGGGGTCCGTGTAAGAGGACGCATGAAGGTTGTTTTTTTTGCATTCCTGTTTTTTTCAGTGAGTATTTTTGTATATTGTAAAGTCGAAAAGTAGACACTGAGCTTTGTTCGTAAAGAATACAGTAGTTGAAATCCATGCAAATATTTTGTCTCTATGAACTACCAACTTGTAAATGCCCACTAAGAACCAGGGCCATGTTTCACAAAGTTATCTTAGAGGTAAAACTATCATAGCTCACATATTTAATCATAGACCTTTGATAATAGAAGCTATATATATTTGACTTGTTCTATTCAGAAAGCAATGAAAATTATTTGCATTTGTCAGGACAGTTACTCCATCTACTTGCCAGCATTTATCAACTTGGTGCCGAATATATCCATGTAGTACACCGAAGTAACTTGACGAGCTGTTGACATAACACTGTGTGGAAATACTTATGGTCTCAGATTGTAGATACCATCAGATGCAACTCAAAAACAGGCTCATTTTTCAGAGTGAGTGAGTGAGTATGGTTTTACGCCGCTTTTTGCAATATTCCAGCAATTTCACGGCGGGGGACACCAGAAATGGGCTTCACACATTGTACCCATGTCGGGAATCGAACCCGGGTCTTCGGCGTGACGAGCGAACGCTTTAACCACTAGGCTACCCGACCGCCCCTCATTTTTCAGAGAATCCATCACAAAAACTAAAACTAAGTCTAAAGTGTACTTTTAAAATCCAGTCTGAGTGATGTGACATCAGCGAAATCTATCCCCTCAGCCTTTGCAAGTTTTCCTGCTTCTTCTTTTGGCCCCTGTTCCTCCACCGATCTCTGGAGCATTTCCTCATCAATAACTGAGGGCTCAACCGTGTCATATAGGCGACTCATCTTTGGTATTATTTCTGAAAAATAAATTAAAAACACTTAAAGTTTTCTCACAAAATCATGAAAGGGCAAGATACTTGAATATTGTGGCAATATCACAACAACAATAACTGAATAGTGGTTGTTTGTATCTAATCATGGGCAAAATACATTTTCTGGTATTAGCTGAAAAATATTTCAGATTAATTTGTTTATAGCCTATTTGTCATTTTCTTGGTAGATCCATCTGAACGAATATTGGATAGCATAATCAACAGTGAAGACTCCAAACAATCAGTGTTTCAGATCGGTTCATTTTTTAGGACATTGACTGATTGTCGTACAAAATGTCGCAAAGATTTTTGTCAAATTTGGAAAAGATTGAAAGATATGGAAGTGTGAAGTCACCATATCAAAAATTGATAACATCATGAAAAAGCTCTAGTCTAATGACATTTTCTCCCTAGCAAACTCACTGAACAATCATGACGAATGTCATTCACTGTAACATTTAACGCCATTTAACAACAAGTTGCATCAGTTCAATATGTAAAACATATGCTTCACTTACATAAACCAGATTACATGAACATTAGTCAATTCCACGGGAACATTTTCTTTGCTTCAAATTTAGAGCCCTAATGGCGTCCTGTTGGCATAACAACGGCCACTTCCGTGTTTATATTGGACATGCTCAAAAGGTGTTATTTATTGCCACATGATATATTAATCAACATTATTTGTCATTCAATGTACGAAGCATCTACATGATAATAATAGTTTTGCCAAATAAACATTAATGATAATAATTTTAGAAAGAGAAGTCCGTTTCTATTTATAGAACCGGAAGTGACGTTCGGGCACTTTGTCAAAATGGCGGCTCTCTTTGGTCACGGAAATCCACTTACAACTCAAGTTGGACAGTTAATAGGTCTGTATTTCAACATTATTTCACTAAGATAGCATTTCTGTAAAACACCAACTCGAGTGTTTTTTCAATATTTTCTATCACAAGTGCATTTCGTACATGACGTCGCATTTTCCGATGCAATAGCAAGGTAACCTGACTGGCAAGTTGTTTATCTTCTTGTATATCGACAATCTCGTTTGTTTACTTGTTCTAAAATTGTCTGATGACATAACGCCATGACTTCTCGTAAATTGAGTATCCGTTGATCCGTTAAATAAACCTTATTTCAAAGACAGCTCCTGTTGTCAAAGTAGATGTCACTCGTGAAAGGTGTATAACATTTAATGAAAGTGTCACCACAACCTTTTCGCCTATGTTGCATTTCCGGATTGCCACAGACATGATAGGAAGTCATGCCATTTTCTTGTTGGAAATATTTGAATTATGTTGTAGTGTGGTTTTGGTTTTATAACAATAGATGATGGCATGTTGTGATATCTAGCGACTCAAGCATTGATAATGAACTTAGTGGAATATTTCGGTGACACTATATAAATATCTAAACAGCATGGCCATTGTACGAATATTTACGTAATATTAGTGTTGAACTGGATAAATGCAATCGTCTGATTACATGAATTGTTATGGTTGTTGGTTGTCAGTGCAAAGTGGTGATGTGTACATGATGTATTAACCTTATAAACATTATCAGTGATAATGGACTAGGAATAACCAATATGAGTGATATAATATATACTTTTGTGTATTTTTAAAATCATGTTTGGCTATAACGTGTATCATGTGTTTAGATAAGGTTGATGCTATGGCAATTTTACATGTAGTGTGTACATTGTGTAATTATGATTAACATGTTCAATGTACAGGAACAATATATATATCCACATATTGAAATGACACATCAGGTATCATGTATTGTCATGTAGAGTATACTTCTTGCAAACCCTGTTCCTTACTGAAAAGCATAATTTGCTCATACTATTGTGTCACATGTGTAGCAATCTGGCACGTAAGGTTGCAGTGGAGATACCTGTATAGTAGACCAGATTCTGTGTGCTTTTGTTTGATTGTCTCTACGAAAGAATCACACACACAAAAAAAAACACACAAATAACAACAACAACAACAACAACATGATGCAGGTGTAAATACTGAAAGCGAAATATAGGCTACAGAATCATTTACCATGTTTACACCAGAACTAGCCATCATGCATTCATGGCTATTGTTACAGTTTTGATGCTTCTAGATCCATGATGTGATATGTACATAATTTAACATTCATATGTGATACACATAATAAACTTGTTTAACCATTTTAACATCATGAAAATGAGAAATATTGACAAAGTTCAATTAATATTATTTCAGCCAGAATGATGTCATTGTATATCAATGATATATGGCTAGTATGATTATTGATGCATGATTATGATGATATACAATATGAATGACATATGGATGTTATTAAACCTCTTTCACATGTTTTACATGCTATAAGAAAGTTTTGACCTTGTTGACTGTCTCAGGTTTTGAAATGGTTAAAAAATTGTATATATTCTGCTGACCATAATCATTGTTTAAATATATTCTATTAATAATCATGGTAATGTCTGTATAAACATGATCATGATGCTACAGGAAAACATGTATTCACGGTGGTGAGGGCGAACTACCAGGGCTAACTACTGAGGTTTATGAGAAGTATTTTGTAGGTCTGGCAGACAGTAGTGATGAGTAGAGCTGAATAATTTTGTGATCTGATCCAATACACAGTGGTTGTAGGTATCAAAATGTATTGGAAATATGTCACATCTGAAAGGGATGTCACAGCTTTCTGCACATTTGAAAATTATGCTTGATCATTTTGCCATAAAATTACTGATTTTTCCAGGATGCATAAACTGTTTGTATTACTGGTAACATTGTACCACAATTTACATACTCAAGACGGTTAACATAACCTCGTAAGACGCACATTTATTTCAAGACATAATTGCAAAAAACAAAATTCACCAAGCATGCCAAGATCATAGTGATACGTATCATATTACTGGACATGCTAGATGACTGTTACCATGGTTAGTGTGCTGTTACATACCCAGCTGACAAGTTGAAGACATCCTATAGTGAACAAGGTTAATGAATGTGATATTGACAATTGTTTTCTTATTGGATGTGTTGATTTTGCTGAGGTCAGTTTATTGTCATATGGAGGCAATGTGGACACCAGAGCTCTGTCCACATGTTGTATTGACCATTTTGCTACACTAGTCACTGCCTGGGCCATCCTTTCACAAGGGTTTGTCAAATCAGAATGTCTCGATTTACTGTATCGTTCATCATCTAGTTGTTTGGGTTGCTTTTACCATGTAGAATTTAATCTGCACTTGTGTTTGATTCATTGTTAAACGTTTGATTCATGACACTATCAAAACCATGTGATGATTCTGGAATAGAATTGGCGCCAATAACCAATGCTTGTCATAAGAAGCCACTAAGATGAATTGGGGGGGGTCAGGCTTCATCAGTTGATGAGGACGTTTTTTTCTTGTGTATAATGTTGAAAGAAAGAAAGATGAAATCCATGAGTCTGTGAGTCTATTCTGCAAGAACATCCCATTCCTTCCTTCGACCTCCTGAACCTACTAAAAACTGCATTGTCTGGAGCAATCTCCACAGTTCATTGACAACATGTACGTTATAACCTGGGCAGTCTTAATATACAGGGAAACCTTGTTTCCCCAAACTCCATTGACTCGACATATCTTTTAAGCAGTGTTAAGTCTGATTAACTTTATTGTCCCGGCAGAATACTTTATCATGTTTATAGCACTATGCTGATCGGGTTGGGAATTGTCTATCAGGTTATCACACAATCATGGCTATAGTATGTAGACTGTAACGATATATGAGACTATCAATGTATTGCAGTTGTTTGCCCTACAATTGTACTACACTGATAGTAATTTTAAAATACCAATGGTATTTTCAATGGTATGCATAACAATCAATAGTTTCAGTAGTCGCATTAGTTATAAAATAAATTAATTATGCATAAGAAACTCGTTAATTTAAGTCGAATTTAAAACCTGCCATGTGTTGATCATCGTGGATGTCACATTAGAGTTACTTGCCTTTGGTTTGAGTAGCGACAGGGAGGAAAATGGCCGACTTTGACATTGTCGGCAATACTTTGTTTTTATCTATTACATTAATTAATATAATTATCAAGCCTTACCATTGCAATAGTTGACGACTTTTGTGATACTATTGTAATACAAGTGAAAATACACCCCAATAGTCACCCTAATAATATACATTGTTTACTCTCTGCAAAGCATGACCGAAAAATACATTTTGTTTCACGGAATCTTTCTCAATATACCATGTGGCAGGCAATAGCAGGTGATCAAAAAGAAGGAAAATTTGTTGCCAGTGTTTAGCACTGCATGTTGAAAATGTTGAGCTTGATGTCCTTTAATAACTTTACTTTACAAAATGATCAAGCAATGAATTTGTGATGTTAATTTCTTTCCTTATATTAAAATAATGCCTGGATGGGTGGATGTTCACAACAATACCCTTTACCATTGTTGACTGTAAATGTTTTCAGGTGATACAAATGTGAGTGAGTGAGTTGGGTTGGAACAGTATTCCTGTTATATCACGGCATGTAAGCTCCATGTGGGAGGAAAGTCCGAAGTGATGCAGGTCTAAGATGTTTACCACTTTGAAACTCATGAGCAGGGTATGGTGCTGAAAAGTCTAAAAACATAATCAGAGTGCACTAGGGTTAAAACTCACTATCATAGGTTTCTGGCATGCCCAAGGGATGCAACTCTGTAAAGCGAATTGCAGCTCCTCAGACGACTGGGCCAACAAAGGTCCATAAACCTAATAATCTGTCAGGGCAATGTGATATTATTTCCTCCTTATTATGTCTCCCTTCCTTATGCATGTTGATCGACACACTGGGAAATACATGAATACTGGTGTTCATCCCAACTCACTCACTCACCCATTTCCCACTGCTTGGTGACTGCATAAGCTCACAGGCTGTGAATATGTAACCGTGGTAATTGCGCCTGTTGTGCAGCAGGTTCCTAAATGCCTCCAAATTAGCATTGTATTTGACTGAACAGAAGTCTTTGACTGGGTGCTTAACCATGATAACCTCTGTGGCCATACTTCCTGTTGCTCTGTCAGACAGAAATATACTATGTGGTTATATAATTAGTACGTAATTAGTCACAATATTCTTAAATCTGTGACAGACGCTTCCATTGGGAATAGGCTTATGTCAGGAATGTCATAACAATCAATAAAGTGGAATTTTCATTTGAAATAGTTCAAGAAATTTGTGTCAAGTGTTTTAAATTTTCAACATAATGGGGTCTTTGTCTTAATGTTGAAAATACAGCTAGAAATTTCTGGTGCCCTAATCGGTTCAAAATTCAAATACAAAGTATGCTAGAGGAGAAAACCTTGATGACGACTTAATGTCAAGTACAGCTTAACGTATTCAATCATGTTATAACAGTTTGTGTGAAGATTATACTACATATGCTACCATGCTGTACAAAGCTAGATTAGATCAAAAGTGGTTCTACATGGCTCCCCTTGTTGTGTAAACTGGTTCTAGATCTCCGCATAAAGGGAGTCAGTCAATTACGTGGAATTGTTCAGCTGACCAGTGGGCCTAGGTATTAGCCCAGGGTAGTAGACCGTCATCAGCTGGTCATCTACCTTATCTAGGACAAGGATTTCACAACCAGTACTTTGTCCCAGTTCATAATCGTATATATGAGTCACACATGTATTGTGATGTTACTATACATGATATAACCAAAGTTAGTTTTGTGAAACTCGAATTTCTTCTTTGAGAGGCATTTAGATGTTGGACTACTAAGTAAGGATAAGATATATGGATTAACATCTTCTTTATTACAACTAGGAGCAACATTTTGATGAAGGTTATCACTTGCTTGTAAATTGTATCT